ATGCTTAGACCATAGAGATGGTTCTGCTTCGTATTTTTCTTTATATTTCCCTAACAATTTAACATTCCCGCCATAAGCTCTGTCAAATATATCACCTCATTCCAAAGTGAAGCCACCATGGAGGTTAGAGACCAGGAGAACGATCGCTACGTGCTAAAGCATAGCCCACATGTACCTGAACGTGAACTGCAGTCGGTAAGTAGTATCTGCGAAGTCAGCTGTTTATGAGTACAAGCAGGTAAAGTTAGTTGAATAATGTACAAATTTTTTTCGCGGCATTGGTGAGAAAATAATCGTGCTCCGTAATTTTTTAATTTTTGACAAAAAGAAACATTAAAAAATGGTGAAATACTGTATTGTGTGTGGATGTGCAAGTGATTTAGCATCTGATCGGAAAAATAGACTGAAAATGACTTTTATTGAATAAATAATAAAAATATAAACTACTTCGCAACCTTCCGCTAAATAAATAAAATGATATGTCTTACCTGGATTGAAGAGCACCTCCCGCCCTCCCTCAATTGCATGCACTAACTCCGTCACCACTAGTCCCAGCACCACTACTCCCAACCCCACTACTTCCAACACCACTATTCCAGGTAAGACACACCATTGACGACAATACGACAAGTGTTTCGCCTCTACACGAGGCATCCTCAGGTATGTAGACTCTACGGCGGCTTTATGAGTGGCGATTTTTTTTTTTTTGCGCCCGAAGCAATTAAAGGGCTACCCTGTACGTAGGGAGGCGGAAAATGCATTACGCATACCACGATAGCCGGTCTATCGTGGTTATGGGGGACTCACTGTCCTACCGGGGACCCTAAGTGATACCCCCTAAAAACCGCCTTTGGGGACAGGCAACCGGCTGATTAAGCTCTATTGTGCCTTATCATGAGCGACCCTCTTTTGGGAAAAGAGGGCGCAGACGAGCGGCGAGCCGAAACAGCTGCTATTTATACACGCCGACACAATCGCTCTCCACCAAAGTAGCGAGTGACCGCGCCGTGCGATAACAACATGCGACTAATTATCATTATTGTTATGATTAATATTTTTTTAAATACTATTATTATTATTATTCTTTTATTGATATTATTATTGTTATTTATTATTATTAATCTTAAAATTATTATTAAAGATTAGCCTTAAAGATGTTTAACAAAGGTGAATTAGAAACATTTGTTTGTTCATTCAAAATGCATTGTTACCATTATTATTTTTTTAAATCTCCTACTGCTCCAGCACACACAGTCGCAGTCCCTTATTACAGGTATGTAAGACTTCAAAGGAATGGTCGCTAGCTAGGTTCTGTCCAGTGTCCAAGAGATGTTTAGCAAAACGGGATTTATCAGGATTGCAATTTCTGCACGCGGCCAAATGCTCTTTATAGCGCGTCCCGAAATTGCGACCAGTCTGACCCACGTAAACAGCATGGCATTCGTCACAAACAAGTTTATAAACACCCGATTTTTGACTAATATTTAACTTATCTTTGTTATTACAAATATTCCCAAGCGAATTGTTTGTTTTGAATGCCACGTCAACGTCGTTTTTTCTAAGAGTATTAGCTATTTTTTCCGATATGGAGCATAAGTAGGTCAAAATACCCACATATCGCCGGACACTTTGAGATCGAACCGCGTACAAAGAGCAATTCTTTGTACGCGGTTCGATCTCAAAGTGTCCAGCGATATGTGGGTAGTTAGTAGTAGTAGGCTCAGGCCGAGCCTACATAACACATCCCTTAATCTGTCTTAGTTAGGCACTCGTCTAAGCGGATTTTCGCCGCTTGCGCCCTCCTTTCTGTCAAGGAGGGTCGCGTTCGTATACGGCTTAGAGATCTCTCGTCAGATCGGTAAGCCAATCCATAAATGCGGTGTTTAGTGGGTAAAAATCTCCACCTCCACTCCTCGCAGCTGGCTGCGTGGTATGCTATGAGCATTCACCGCCTCCCTCCCCCGCTTTTCGGAGGGTTGCCCATATTTGCTTCGGGCGCGAAAAAAAAGTGTAGAGGCGAAACACGTGTCGTATTGTCGTCAATGGTGTGTCTTACCTGGAATAGTGGTATTGGAAGTAGTGGGGTTGGGAGTAGTGGTGCTGGAACTAGTGGTGACTAAGTTAGTGCATGCAATTGAGGGAGGGCGGGAGGTGCTCTTCAATCCAGGTAAGACACATCATTGTATTTAGTTAGCGGAAGGTTGCGAAGTAGTTTATATTTTTATTTTTTATTATAATGGATTTCCGCAAAGTAACGCCTGATTCTATCAATGATTTTTATTGAGACAACTTAGCGATCGGAACGCCTCACTTATATGTCCATAATTCTGGGACACTATTTTCTACAGCGATCGTTCTCCTTCTGTCTAACCTCCATGGAAGCCAGCCTGGCGACAGTCATGAAGGACAGGAGAACGATCGCCGTAGAAAATTGTGTCCCAGCAATATGGACACCATAAATGAGGCGTTGCGATCACTAAGTTCGGTCATAAGTCATTTTCAGTCTATTTTTCCGATCAGATGCCAAACCACTTGCACATCCACGCACAATAAAATATTTCTCCATTTTTTAATGTTTCTTTTTGTCAAAAATTACACAATTACACAGCAGGAAAATTTTCTCATTAAAAATGAAATGAAAATTTGTACATTATTCAACTAACTTCATCTACTTGTACTCATAAACACTACTCACCGACGTCAGCACCGCTATATATTCTACAATTTTCAAGGACAGGTAAGTGTATTCTCGCCCTTTGCTCTACAATATATCTGCATTTTGGTTCTTAATCAAGAATTGGCCACATCTAGCTTTCAATCAGGTGGGCGGATTTTAACGATCTTTACATCTACAAAAAGGGTTATTTATAAGTTAACACCGTAACAGAAGCACAAAAATGAAACACACCACTAGATTTGCATCTTATTTATTGATTTGTCCTCCCAAAACTTTGTTTTCGCTTATTGTTTGGACTTACAAGGATTATCTTTTCTTTCGGCTACTTACATAACATTACAGTTTTATAAAGAAATCACAATGTGGAGAGTTGCCGGCCACCGCCGGGCAGACCGCTAACAGTTCCCGCGATCAGTCTATCCTTGTCGCACACATGCACGCGAACACGCATCCACACACGCACGTACGCACGCAAATCATCACAAACATTATCAATGAGGATTTAACTTAATTATCATTATATAAGTTGAGACGTGAATCTATAGTAAAATAAGAACTACGATTAGCAGACGTCTTTTGCTGGTTAGGAAACCGTTGGCCAGATCCTGTTTATGCTAAGGTACGTCAATCAGAAAGTGATACAGAAAAAAAACAAGATGGCAGTAGCGGTCGCCCGGCGACGACCGGCGCGGCGACTCACAGACAACCAAACAAACACACACACGCACGCACACTCATAGCCCATTCCATCAATATTTATACTCGGTCGCGACGACCGAACTAACTCAAAATGAAATCTCTATAGTAGACTTAACTAACCTAATAATTACAAATGCACAGTATGTATACATAATAACCATACACTTTTACAATATGTATATAATTTACCGTTCAATAAACCGTTAACCGTGTTTACATTATGTATAAGTAAGGGCTTAATCAGTTACGTTCGTGATCGCGGCGGTCGGCTGCGGACTTCGCTGCGGCGCCGGCCTACGCTATACATTATCAATACAGTAAAAATAAAACCAAAGAAAAAAACTATTTACAAGAGACGTGAAAGATTAATTCAACTACGCGTATACTAACTAACTTGAGTGGATGGTGCGACAGCGAAATCCCCAGCGAAAAGCGAAACTTAACTAAATAAAATTATATTTATTTATAATGTATACATATAAAAAACTTAGTCTCGTTATTTAAAGTCGCGCGGTCTGTACATCTGCGCGACCGCACGACGTCGCAAGTAACACTTGCACGCAATATACACGATCGCAAAGGCAATTGCAATCACTCATCTGCAACAGCGACTCACAAAATATATAAAAAGGTAACGCTCGAGGTGCCTGCGTCAGCTCGGGCGTCTCACAAACAACGCTACTATCTATACACTGTACAAATATCTATGTGCAGCTATGAAATGGACAAAGTCATGCGGCAATCTTACCCTAGCCCACGATCTCCAATAAGAAACTCCATACAACTCACTGAAGTGCAAACAAACGACTCACAACAAGTTGTATCTGGTCCTTTGGAGCCCTGGTTCTCGTGTTAGAGCGATGGAAGACTGGATATAGTACATTTATTCTATTACACAGTTAATTATCTCTGCCACTTTACACTATGAAGACATTATAATTTTGTGGCAGTGCTCGGTTAAATGTCCATCAATTTGCAACGCTGAATATAATAACGTGAAACGCACATGGCCCCTGCTAGCTAACATTGACGTAGAGTACGCGGTAAGTTTTACAAATATATAAAAATAAACTACAAGAAACCTTTGCAAGCTAAAATATTCTGTGTAATGTCCTGGTGTTCTCCATTACTACATCCAGCATTGCAAGTGTACAAGAAAGTAAAACAACAAAATAAATAACAATATAACATTATGATACTCTCACTATTCGACAGCGAATTTTTTCATAAGCGTAACGTTTTAACTAGAGAATGTGGTTCGGGCAGATTCCTCTGACTCCACCTGACACTCGCGGTCACTTAAAGCTTTCCACAACACATGAACGGTAATCCCTGTTTTGTGATATAAGTTTGTTGAGACAACTCTTGAGTCAACACTTGTTATCACTGAATAGTACTTTGTCCGATGTTTTGGAAGCGATTTTATCACTAAGTTCACAAAATTGTCCTCTTGTGACTTTCCCCTATAGTCCATTTAGCACTTTTTTATTGTTTCTAATTTTTTGTCAGTTGTTGTTTGACAGTCATAATAATTTTGTCTGTCTCATTTTTGTTTCTTACAAAGGTGCATTTGTCATAATATGTCAGAGGTTTTCATTGCTTCAATTATTTGTAGTAATTTAGGTCACCGATGTAAATTGTTGTAACAAATAACAGAATTTCTTTCAACAGAACTCTGAGTTTCAGGGACACTTTCAGGCTGATGCACCTCTTCACTATCATTATTTTTACTTTCTGCAGACACCGAGTCAGGGTCAGATGACTTGATTTGTTCACAATCTTGATTCTCATTTGGTGTCATGGTTTCTTTAGTGTGGACTACTAATGAGGATTCCAGAGTGGTATTAGATACATCTTGGTCTTTATGTTGGTTATCTGTTGTAGACTGCCCCGCTGAGTCTAATGGTTGTTGATTTTGTTTTATGGTAGTTGATTCATTTGATTTATTCTGTTTAGGTTTTTCTATATTTGTATTTGGTTTCAACAGTCTAAACGTAAGCGGTATCGTATTGGAAGGTACATTTGTACTGAGTAAAGCGTACGTACTGGTGGAATCAAACTTCAGGTTCAGGTCTGTCATTCGTGAAGGAGCTTCCGACGTGACTGTCTGTGTGGGGGTTCGTATCAAGTTCCTTTTAAGAAGCAATATCCTCGGTTGGTTGAAAACAGGTCTCTGTAACTGGAATGTTGGTGCGATTGTCGACGTAACGGGGTAGTTCTTGACGAGCGCCAGTCTCGGAGCGTTAGTCGCGACCGGACGTGTAGATTGGTTTCCCATCCGTATAAATACGTCGCAATCGGGCATCAGTGCGAATCTAGTTGTGTCGTTCGTTCGATTCGCATCAAACGTGGTTTCTGTTGCGAGTGTTGGTGCGTTCATATTTACAAAGACAGTGGGCGTCCGTCTCGAGTCACCAGTGGCTTGAGCGGCGTTTGTTGAATTGTTTGTTGTAATACTTGTGAAGTTCGCTAGCGTTCGCGGCGGGTGTTCAGCGGAGCGTGCGCGTGCGCGGCGGCGGGTGCGGGGGCGGGCGCAGTCCGCGGCGGCGCGGCGCTAGGGGCGCGCGCGTGGGCGGACGCGAGGGCGGGCGGCGCGCGCGTCAGTCCTCGTCGGAGAGCGGCTCGTACTGCGCAGACATGAGCGGCGCGGGCTCCGGCGGCGGCGGCGGCGCGGGCGCGGCCGGCGCGGACACCGCGGCCGCACTAACTGCCGCTGCCGCTGCGCCTGTCAATATTATAAGAGAACTTTACATTTTTTGTTCAATTTAAACTTTTGAACTCTCTTAAGCACGTCAAAATCTACACAGGTTCACTAAAGAACCCTCTCAGAAACTAGGGAAAATCATTGTACGGTATTCAGTGTACGAAATCACCAACTAAACCATATATTCACAATGTGGTCCTTCGAGCCAAATTTGAACCAGCTACGAATGATGTAAATTTATATTAATTAGAAAAATATCCATGCTATATAAGCTTTTACGTCCTTCACACGTTATAACCCATTTCTACCTCAGAAGAGAAAAGTTAAATGGTATTTTTTTAACTTGGCATATAACTGCCAAAATGGTTGATATCCCTGACTTAAATGAATGTTTTTATTGGTATCAGGTAACTTAGTGACTGTTGAATAATTAATTATTTAAAGAATGGCGATAGTTAATACTTTATAGTTTTATATAATATTACTACACTACACCTCTCCTCCCACCCACAAAATAATAAAAAAAAGAAAAAAAAATACATTTTTAACTAATAGAAATAAATATAAAATTATGTTTGCTATGAATATAAATTATATCAAGACCGCAATCTAGTGAAATAAGTAAAAGAATTCTATTAGTAAGTCGAGAGGCCGGATACGTAGACCCCATATATAATGAAGTGTATTTGGTGAAGTGTAGTTAGTGAAATGTAAGTAATGAAGTGTATGTAGTAATGAGTATTTAGTGAAGTGTAGGTAGTTAAGTGTTTGTAGTGAAGTGTATGAAGTAAAGTGTAGGTAGTGAAATATATGTAGTGAAGTGTAGGTAGTGAAGTGTATGTAGTGAAATGTAGGTAATGAAGTGTATGTAATGAAATTTAACTAATGAAGTGTACGTAGTAATGAATATATAGTTAAGTATAGGTAGTGAAGTGTTCGTAGTGAAGTGTATGAAGTGAAGTGTAGTTAGTTAAGTATATTTAGTTATGTGTGTGTAGTTGAAGTGAATGTAGTAAAATGTAGGAAGTGAAGTGTAGGTAGTGAAGTGTATGTAGTGAAATGTAGCTAATGAAGTGTATGTAGTAAAGTGTATATAGTGAAATGTAAGTAGTGTACAGAAGGATGTGAAAAGGTGGTGTATGACTGACCGTCTGCGGCCGTGGCGACGTTGAGCGCTGAGAAGGGATACGCGTAGGCTGTGGGGAAGGGCAACGGCTTGGCGCGCTCGTCCGCGTCGCTGCGCATCACCTCTACGATGCGGTTGGTCACGTAGTCGTACGCCGTCAGCACACCGCCGGCCACGCCCACGCCCACGCCCACCCCCACCCCCACCCCGCTGTAGCGCCGTGCGCCACCGCCTCTGCGCACAACGAACAATCAATTAATGGTACAGATATAGATCAGGAATGCCTCAATCCGCGTTATAGATATTAGTGCTTTACTATACTATACATATTAGAGTGCATGACTTTCAATACTTCAAAGTCAGTTTATTTTTATATTGTATTTACAGTTGGGTCCTACACTTAAATATAATTTTTTGTTTAGGTAGACTAGTATTGTATATCGAACAAAACAAATTTGAATTCGATCCGTACCACTAAAATTATTATTCGTAATTATAAGTGTACTTGGTAAACATGTTCCCGAATAAATAGCACATGTTAAAGAAACTTGCATATCTGAGGAACTAAAGCGTTTTAAGGATACGTGGAGTATAAACACTTACACTTGAGCATTACATTTTTTTTAAATAACTATGCTAGTAAAGATGCCCGTATGTAGTCCTATAGTAAGGAGGCCCATGCCCGGCAGTATGACGCTCAAGGTATGCACGTGGGCTGGTTATTTACCTTGTTAAAAAAGATAATTTTCAGTCTATATGTGTCTAGTATACACATATAGACTGAAAATTATCTTTTTTAACAGCACAGGCCTCCTCTCGTTTTCTAAAAGGGTTTGAGTGCTCGGAAATGTCCGTCGCGCTGCCCCAATACGTGTTGGTGACCTTCACATGTCTTCGAAATATTTTTTTTTCTCAGATATGCAGGTTTCCTCACGGTGTTTTCCTTTACCGCCGAGCACGTAGTAGTTTACTACGGGGAACGAATAAATTAGAGATGTGTGTTAGTTTACCTGGAGTGATGAGTATCAGGTGGTGAGACGGGCTCGAGGTATGGCGCGTGCTTGGGCGCGTCGCGTCGCCAGTCATCAGACACCGCCCCGGCTGCCGCCCCGCCGCCCGCCCCGCTCGTCGCCACGCTGCCCGCTCCGCTCACGCTTCCACCGCAAGACACCGCGCCGTACGCTTCCGACCCTATCGCGAATCGATTGCTGCAACAACAACACAATGCACTCAATATTTACACAACTTATTAAAATCAAAATGTGGTGGAGAATTGAAATAGAATATATTAAATTAATTTAAATGGGATCACGCTTGTACTCTAGCCTATTTAATTAAAAAAAAAATTTAAATCCGTTTACATTTAGCGAAGGAATCACGTAATGTATTGATAAAAATCCGAAATATAGTAAAATTGAGAACTTACTTCTTTTGTGCAGTCGCCTAAAATTATTATTTTTAGTCTAAGATTTAAGTAGAGCTAAAACTATAGCTTAAGCAGAGTCTTTCAATTCTTAAAACACTGTCTAATTCAACCCTTTAAAATTTATTTTGTTTTTTCCGCGGAACTTCTTTATTGAAAAATTCTTGTATAAACCATAAAACTTACTATACTACATTTTGTGACAAGACGTTTAAAGTTGTCGTGCAGAAAAAACGCTAGCAAGCGCAAGAGCGCGATTGTTAGAGAACAGACTTCTAGATAAGAAAAAACCACACCCCTTTTTTTTTTTTTTTTTTGTTGTTGAGAAGGTGTTTTTTGGTTTTTTGTTTTATTATAAAAATAAAAAAAAAAAAAATAAAAAAATTATTATTTTTATATTAAAAAAAATAATATTGTTGGGGAAACACCCCCAAAAACAACACGAAGAAAAAAAAAGAAAACGCTTGCCCCCGCCCCCCGCCACCCTTTCTCCTTTCACTTTCCCTCCCTCTCTTTCCTTCCCCCCACCCCACCCCCCTATATAACTTGTTTCAGTATTATATAATTGCCGCCACGAGTCGTGAGCACACTTTTTATTGGTCAATATGACGTTGACCACGCTGACGCTCAACGTGATTGGTTCGTCAGCCGATTCTCGTCGTCTATTGGGTTCGCACGTATCGTTCGACTACCGTACACTTGAGAGCAATTTTATTAACAACTTTTTAATTAGTTTATTTTTGTTAATTGTAGTGTTACCTCGTTATTAATTGTTGTTTGTGTATTTCTTGTTTTTAACTGTTTTTGATATTTCTTTTTGTTAATTTTTTTTATGTTATAATTTGAGCATTCGGATTTTGGGCTAAATATGCAGAGAAGAAAGAATTCGGTGTTAAATAGACAACGGTATTAAATAAACAAAACAAGTAAAACCCGACAAATGGTCTATTCAGTGTTTTGTTACATGAAATAATTAGGTATTGCGAAAAACATGATAGACGTTTATAAACAGACTGCTAAGGCGACTAATGTCTACGTAACTACTGTACGTCGTATAGTTAAAGGAGTTAACGACTCAGAATTTCGAAAAAAAGTCAGCGAAAATATTCAATTATGAATTGAAATAACAACAGTACCTAATAATTTTGGACGACAGTGTATAGGTCGTGCCACGTAAGATGAAATTAAATAGAGTCCACTACGCATGTACAATCGAGCAGAAAAATTAAAATTTTATTATGGCATTTTAATATGTAAAAAGTCAAAGGTCAACATTATAGCTACAAATCAAAGTCTTCACGAAAACTGAACGATATACTTATATTTCATCGTTAGGTTTTAACTGCTTCTAAATAATATTCTGCATTTTATGTACACTTAGTTAAATAAATAAAATATTTTGTATTTGTAATTGCTGTTTAAACTATACTATGTGATAGCCTTCGATTATAAGGATATTTTACATGCAATAATTTTCCAAAAAAAATCATCTTGTAGAAAATAACAAAATATTTACAACTTTATACAATATACTACGAATTACGCTATTTTAAATAGTCCCAAAATAATTTATAAAGTAATAAATATTTGCACACTATTTGAAAATATTATAGAACAATATTTTTAAAAGTACAAATATAATCAGGTAGTCGTTAACACTTTTGATATCGATAGTACACAAGACGACACAAGAAGGTGCGCGGGCGACGGGACGCAGGGAGACTCAACGTGGGAGTAGCGCGTCGCCCGTTGCTATGGTTTCGCTTCCCCGTACCTCACACCTCACCGTGCCGACACCTATTTTTCGGTTCTGCGCACTTCCATGACTCGTGGCGTTGCCTATACCTACGCTGGATCAACCCCCACCATAGTTCATCTGTGCTCACCTTTCGTGCCGGCAACTATACATCGTCATATGTAGATAATATAATATACTAACTTGTGGTGTTGCAAGGAGGTGGTGGGGCTGCAGAAGTCCCTAGTAATAATGTTGGAGGCGAGGTCCCCGAGCTTGATGCTGGTGGTGTGCGCGGCGCTGGCCTCCTCTCTCTCTCGCTCGCGCTCTCTCTCCCGCTCGCGCTCTCGCTCCCGCTCGGCGGGCGTGGGTGTGCGCGCGGCGGGCGAGGCGGCGGCGGGCGGGGCGGGCGGCGGGGCGGCGGGCGGAGCACTGCCCGCCGCACTGCACGGTACGGCACTGCCCTCGTTGTCACGCATCTTCTGGAACCGAGTACGGCCTGGCCTTAGTCAACTGACACACCAGCCTTACCCTCGTCGGGTCCTCAGGGGTGGCAATGTATCGACATTTTGATTTTTATTCGAAGATAAATACAGGTGTGTAAGTCTATGCGCCATATGTGATATAAAACAGCGCACGCGACATATATATTAGTTTTTATTGTAGATAGTAAGGTGTCAAGTCTAATTAAAGTCAAAGGAGAAGACACAAGCCTCACATTGAAACCATACACGTTACACACAGCATACACTTACTGTCAAGTGAAGCATGAAAGAGTTTGTCAACTTTACTTGCATAAAGTGATAGAATAAGGCGATACAGCAACCCACGTTGCTAGTGGTTACGGTTGTACCCTATTAAAGTCCACGCCTGAAGGAGGATTTCGTTGTAGTTGCCACGACTGGCAACTGCAGTTTTTTATAATTTTGAGTTGTCATCAGAAAGATGCTGCTGCTGATCTCCTGATCAGTTTACCTCTGTCACGTCTTACGACACCCACGGGACGATCTACTGTTGTAGTGGATATTCTTACTCTGCCACTTCACGGTAACTGACACACTAGCCTTACATGACGGATTTTAATCGAGGATAGATGTAGGAGTCTATGAGGCATAGCATGCTCTTCCTATCAAGTGAATGTACAATAGTTTGTCACCGTTACTAGTATATAAGCGGTAGAATAAGGGAGCGCAGCTAAACAATTTTGTACAGTGGTTAATGTTGATAGAAAATTATAAAAATGAAGTGCAATAACAAATTTCTAACTTTCACGAGACTTAACGTCGAATCCATTCATTCTTCTAATTATTTACAACTTGAACAGCTAATCCTGATGATGCTGCACTCTCTTACTATATTGCTTTTATAAATGCAATGGCGATGAACGAGAATCCACACCACCTGGTTGAAGTGGATGCTGTGGTCAATAAACATCTACATATACCCTCAATTATGAATCAAAATGTAGATGCGTAATCAACCCCGATAACTAAGACAGAATACCGCGTTAGCAATTAAAAAAAATTCCGTTTCTCTAAAGTCACAAAACACACTGTTATATCAAAAGTGTATTAAGCTGCTATTTTTTATATTAAGCAATAACCCTTTCCCGATCGAGCTGAACCATACCTGTACTAACTATAATCTATCTTGCAGCACAGCTCCATCACGTAACGCTAATAATGTTTTATCCGTAATTAAAAAATACTCTAGTTAAGAAGTCCATGCTGAAGTAATGTAAAAAAAACCCACCGGAAACCGTTGGTCGCTGTTCTGGTTGATCTGGTGCGTGATGATGGCGTTGATGAGCGAGGCGGCCGTGAGTTTGCCGTCCACGGGCAGCCCGCGCGCCTCGCCCGCCGCACCCGCCACCGCGCCCACTCCCACGTTGCCCACGTTTCCCACTCCACCCACGCTGCCCACGCCCACGTTGCCCACTCCACTCGCTATGCTAGTGCTGCTCGCCGCACTCACGCTCACAGAACTCACCACGCTCGGCGTGCAGCTCACCGTCGTTCTTCTAAATAAATAATTACTTATTCTTAAAAAAGATTATCTTTGAAAGAATATTAACTAACGTAGCAGAAGTATACAAATTTCATAAGAAAATTTTACAAAAGCAAACTAACGTCGAGGTTTAAAAAAGATAAACTCCCACTGTGTCGAAGGAGAAAAACGTGTGTAATCATTAAAAGTATTAAAGCGACTATACACGTTGTATATTAAATAGCAAAACAGCAATATAACTATAACATTGCCACAAGACGCAAGAATGTTTATTTTTGTGAGGGGTAAAAACTAACGTTGAGGACATTGCACTATTTACGTGTTTGCCCCCTTTTTTACGTCAGTTGAAAATACTAATCTAAAATGTGTTTTATATCTCCAGTACTCACGGGTCTTTCCTGTCGAGCATGTGCGATGCTAACGCGCGATGTTTGGGCGCGCTGTACACTGCCGACGTTCTTCTTTCCTCCGTGCTTGCTACACTCTGAAAAAAAGTGACATTCTCTAATTAAAATATACACACTTATACTTGAGTTTTTAACTTTTTTAACTTGTAACTTCCACATATTGGGTATACGGAAGAAATATACAGAATGAGTCGCAAACCTGTGCGTGTTGCAAATGATGTCGGTCATGCAAAATCTGAGTCTGCTGTTGCTGCGGATGCTGCGTATGTTGCGGATGTTGCGGATGCTGCGTATGCTGCGGATGCTGCGTATGCTGCGGATGTTGCGGATGCTGTGGATGCTGCTCGATTACGTAGTGCCGTTCTTGGATCGTTACCATATTCCTGTAACATTAATAAATTTCGTATTTTATCATTGAAAAGGTTAAACAGTCATGATCTATTTATTGCTATGCGTATTCTCTCAGGTTACATAATTTTTTATAGGATAGGGTGACAAACGAGCACACAGTCCACCTGATGGTAAGTGGTTGCTGTGGCCCATAGCTACATCTATCCTCGATTACAAATCAAAATGCAGATGCGTTGTCACCCGCAAGGACTAAGATGGAATGCCTCGTTTCCTGTAAAAAGGGTCTCCGGGTCTCTACACTCACCATATGAAACACAGCAGCATTAGGCTACTATTTGACGCTGGCATTCTGTGAGAGCGTGGTCCTTCCCCGGTCGAGCCGACCCATTCGTGCTACAACTATACTACTAATATAACTGCAAAATGGCTCTAACTCGAAAGCTCTACCAAAATTTAATAAATATTGTTAGCATATAATATACTTAAGGGATTATCTTCCATAATTTTGCCTTATTTAAATCATTCTCAAATATAACAGAAAGCTGCAAAGGTCTGCTTTAATCTAGCGTATCGCCTTAAGTACAGGAGTTTGACTAATCGACGCTATATTTACGATAGAATCTAGATAAATATCTAATTTAAATCCACTAGAAGGATTATAAGAGCAACAAACGTACCTATCTCTGTTCTGCGTTGGCGCACGTTCTCGTTGTGGTTCGTATTGTGGCTGCAGTGTGCGGCGATCTCTTTCTTGCTGATACTGCATTGGTTGTTGGTACTTTTGCGATAGCGGGAATTCTCTCTGTTGTCTAAAATCAATATAATGATGTTTGTTAATAACTAACTAATTTACATGTTCTTAGTGAAATACACATGTAATAGGGTAGGTACCTATGTTATCGTTTATATTAAAGTATTTTGCATAAAAAATACGCACCTTAACTCATGATGCTGCGTATGTAACGTATGCTGCGGATGTTGTGAATGTTGTGTGTGCTGCGAATGCTGCGGATGTTGCGGATGCTGTGGATGCTGTGAATGCTGTGGATGTTGTGTATGCTGTGGATGTAACTTGGGGTCTTGCTTCGGTTCTGGTTGTGACCCTCGCGGTACTGGTAACGCTGGGGCGGCTGACGCTGCGTTCACAAGTGATGTGAATGCTTCGTGACCTATAAATAATTGATGTAATTGTAAGTGATATGACAATTAAATATAATTTTAATTATATTTCGTCATCATTATTATCATTATGACAGCCTAACAAATTCCATGGCAATTAGGTCGAAGTTGTCACGTTTGACAGGCGGCGGTGGGCAACCGCTGTTTGTATTATCTTAAGTTGTTATTAATAAGATTTCTATCTCCTCATTCTCTACTTATATCGCCACTATACGATGGAAACCATACGGTAGATACTTATTTTGAGTATATGTATAAGTATAGTAAGGTTTACCTGGCGGCGGATGCGGATGCGGGTAGGCGTGCTGGTGCTGCTGCGGGTGAGGGTGCTGGTGCGGGTGCGAATGCGGATGTGGGTGCGGATGCGGGTGCTGGTGCGAGTGGCGCGTGATGACGGACACCGCGTCGTGCTCGCGCCGCGCCGGCTCCGCACCGCGTCGCGCCGCGCCGTGCATCTGCTGCGACGTGATGAAGTCCGTCAGCATGATCTGGCGCCGCTCCAGGTGGTACCCGCCGCCGCCCGCCCCGCTCGACGCTCCGCTCACCGCAACGGACGCCGCCGCGTTCGCGCCACCCGCCGACTGAAGGAAATTGCTTATATTCAACATGTTATATCATGCATTATATTTTATATAGTAATCAATGACCCCCGGGTGAGACCATAGTCTTAAATAAGTTTCAGGATTTATATACATTTCTAAAAATAAGTAAATAACATATTTACAGCGACCGTTAACCATCTGAGCTACCACGGCTCTCTGAGAAACCCTCTCAGAAATGAGGGGAGGCCTGTGCCCAGCAGTGGGACGTATATAGGTTGTAACTTTAACTTTTTAACTAAATAACGTATGTCTGGGTAAAATAAATATATATTGTACAAGTCCACTGTTGCGCGGCTAAGTCCATCCGGACTAATTCTCTTGGGAAGCACGGCGATCCCATCAAGTCCTCTTATGTTTTACTTATAATATACTATAATGAAGATAACAAGACATTCAATATTTTAATATTGAATTCCTCATTATCAGTAAAATCAGTTATCGATTGATGTCATACAAGAATAAGAAACACAGTAGAGCTCGTGGTCCTTTCTCGACTGAGCCGTACCCATAGTTCTGCAGCTACAACATAGCTGCAGCGTGTACCTACTATATGACTAATAACGTTACGTTCTTTTCCTCAAAACATAAGTTAATAACAGCTACCGAAAATGGTCCCCTGAGCCGGATATTAAAGTATCTTTTTATAAAGTTAATATCAACATGTAATTAATAGGATACAGAATAAAATTCTTACCGCGGAAAATTGTGACGGAGATTGCGGCCTCGGCTGCGTATAATAAGCACCTGGGCTTCTTCTTTTGAAGTACGAATCGAAGGGACGTTTGTCAGGCGCATGATGAGGTCCTAAAACTGGTGTCCCAGCTGTGATTGAGCCGGCTTTGGGTTCGAAGCGCTCACCCAAAGGCGTGCCGGCCGTTATGGAACCCTTCGCGTTGCCTTTTGTGGGAGTTCGGGCCGGCAACGGAGTCCGTGCTTTTGCGTTGTACAAAGTGGGCGATTCCCGCTCTGGTGCACGGTACGTGTAGTCATTTGGCGTACGACACGTCGGCTGTAATACAAAATATTATTACAATGTAGTTTTTTAATATCTATTTAATTAATTTATCAACAAATTTATTTAAAAATTATTCATGTATTATTTATAAATTTATGTTATCTACTTTTATTATAAATTAATGATTTTATATTTAATAATGTATACATGTTTATAGTAAGAATAAAATTAAAAGTTTTAAGTTTTATTTTTTAAAGAATTGCAAGCATGCAATGCAGCATTTATACTCAATTAAGAATCTAAACGTAGATGCCTTGTTACCTCTGAAGACTAAGATAAAATCCTCCGGTTCCAGTTTAATGTGAAACACAAGAGCAATAAGTTATTACATACGCCGGCGTTTTGTGAGACCGTGGTCCTTCCCTGGTCTAAACAACCAATTCGTGCTACAACAATAATGTAGCTGCAGCGTGGCTCCACCACGTAGAATTATTTAATGACGTGTAAGTACCGGTTTGTTAGGATGGGGAAAGGAGTCGAGCCGCGGCCTCTTGACGCTGAGGTCGAGCAGTGGCTCGTGGCGGTCATGGCGATCGAGGCGGTCGTCGGGCGGCGGCAGCGGCAGCGGCGTGATGGTGGCGGGACGGTGCGGCGAGTGCGGCGAATGCGGCGAGCGCGGCGCCGCGTGCGCGTGCGCGAGCACGTGCTGCGCGTGCCCCGCGTGCCCCGTGTGCGCGCCGTGCACCGCGTGACCCGCGTGCGTGCCGTGCGCAGAGTGCGGCCCCACCACCGTCAGCGTCGCCAGCGACTCGTGCGCCGCAGCCTGCAAATACGCCGTAATTTTTAATATTACGCTGTAGTTCGTGGAAACCTGTGACCAACTTCAATCAATGACTACAATGACCTTGTCAAATGTCAATACTTACAACCGGAACAAAGCTATAGATGCATCAACCCACTTAGTCCGCCTCTTTCCTAGTAGAAAAAGAGCTTTACCACCTAGTAATACTAAATATTAATTCAATGCAAGATGTAGATGTAGTGCCGGCGTAAAAATATCCATTACTCAATATCATCCCGTGGGTGTCGTAAGAGGTAACAGAGGAAAACTGAAACAGGAGATGAGCAGCAGCATCTTCTTAATAACTACTCAAAATAATAATAGAATCGGTTACCAACCTGCCTGATAAGTGTGGCAATTATGGCAAAATCCCCTTTTTTAATAGCGGAAGGATGACAAACGAGCACACAATTCACTTGATAGTAGTTAGTGTTTGCTGTTATCCATAGACATCTACATCTATCCTCGATTACGAATCAAAATGCAAATGCGTTGTCACCCGTGAGGACTAAGATAAAATGCCTCCTTTCCATTAAAAGGGTCTCCGGTTCTCTACACTCATCACACGAAACACAACAGCGTTAAGCTGCTATTTTAGGACGGTATTCAGCGTTTATGAGTTTAATGAGATAGTCTATAAGGGAGACATATCTTTAGCAGTGTAGACTTTTATAGGCTGTGTAGATGGATGAACTTACACTAACAGAAGTAGACATAAAGTAATACTCTTGTTGAAAGTGGATGGTATACCTTAGTGGTATGGGGGGCGTGGTGCGCGTGATGTTGGTGGTGCGGCGGACGCGCGTTCTTGAGCAAGCTCACCTCGATCATGTTCAGCACCACATCGCGCACCGTCAGCGGTGCGGACGCACACGTTGCCACTGCCTACAAAAATTCAAATTCCTTTATTTACTGTAAATAGGGTAAGTATTATATTGTTACACTAAAAATATGTTGCGCAAATACCCATACCAGTAATATAGTTAATGTGTTAGTTGTCGTACCGACTTACTCGAACGTAAAGTTTGTATGTGTGCGTGTCGTATTAGAGTATACGTACGTACTACGTTATAAAATTTGTAAGTGTGCGTGCGTGTACATACTCGTAGTAAAGTGTGTAGTAGTGCGTGTGCGTGTGCATGGTACCTTGGCGGCGGGCGCGTCGTTCTCCTCATCGGCCGTTTCGGTGGCGGAGGAGTCGTACTCGTCGCGGCGCGCGCGTCGCGGCGCGGCGGCGTCGGTGCGAGGCGCGGGCGGCGGCGGCGGCCCCCCGCCCGCCTCGCTGTCCCCGCTGCCGCTGCCTGCATCCGCCTCGCCCGCCTCCGGCTCACCCGCCTCCACGGCCTCCAGCTGCAGCCGCTTGCGGAACGTGAAGTAGAAGGCGCGCAGGGAGGCAGCGGAGCGCCCGCTGGCGGCCGCCATGCGGTCCCAGGCGGCGCCGTGCTCTCGCAGCAGCGCCCGGAAGCGCGCCGCCTCTTCCTCGGCCGGCTCGCCAAGCGCCGGCCCGTCGCCCAACGCGTCCAGCCGTCGCGTGATGCGCTTGAAGCACGCCACACAGCACTTGCTCAGCTCGCTGGGCACCTCTGCAACGTCATGCAACTTCACGTCTCTTTCTTTCTTTGGTTATGAATTCCTGCACTTATATTTACACCAGTATCAACTAATAGGAATTATTTTATTTAATAATTTCTTTCAAAATCTTCTTCACAATATGCCGATGCGTGACACTGAGAAGTTGACTTCAACGGATAATCAATAAATAGTATCTCAAATTCTTAAAGTTCCTAAGCGAACAAAACAACTTGTGATTTATATCAACATTAGAGCACTTGTTCCCATCACTTTTACGTATTAAAATCCATTTCAAACCATTATTTAAACGATAAAACAGAAGCAACTATCCGCTGACGGTCAAGTTCCTGCCATAAATCTCGATCACGTCTCTTAAAGCTCAATCGAGCGGCGGAACTTTTGAACTAATATGTATTACGTACTAAAACAGACATCTCGAAGAAAATCTATGCGGCAGTACGGAGCGCATAAAAGAAGACAGAATACCTTTTTACTGTACAGACGGAGGTCTATGTTCAATAGTCAACTCGTAAAGGGCTATACCGGTACTGGTGGTTGTCTCTCGAGAATACTTCTTTACCATTGCTTGTGAACTGTTCGAGCTATATGTCAACAATGTGTGTGCGTGTGTACTCACGGAACTCGTCGAGCAGAGGGCGCTTGAGGTCTGGCGCAAGGTCGTGCCAGCGCGGCGGCAGGTGGCGCAGGCGCTTGGCGCGACCCGTGCAGGCCGGCACGGCACAGCGACCGCGCCCACCGCGCGCTCGCAGCGCGCGCCCACGACACGCCTCGCACGCGCCCGCCGCCCCGCCCGCGCCCGTGCCCGCGCCCGCCCCCGGCCCGCATGCCCGCACGCACGTCGCGCACGCGCCCGTACCCGTGCCCGTACTCGCGCCCGTACTCGTGATGGTTATCGTCGTAGCGGCAATGCTCGACGCCGGCGTGCCCGTTCGTTCGTTTGCTGCAGAAGAGATATCATAGTAAAGTTATATTCAATACTTTATCCTCGTCGTTATATTAAGAATTGTGTATTTATTTTTGTTAATATTGATCTTTATTGAAATGTCATTGAGTATTTAAGAATTTTTGTACTCGTATGCTCTAACCACACAACCTTTGTTCACAATAATCTTATTGTGAAATCATCTAATCGAATTTGATTCAAATTATTTTAAACCTCCTCTGCATCAAGTAAAAACGGGAAAAAGTATTACACAGCTTACTTAAAAGATTAGTATTTTAAAAACTAAGTCAATCCAATTCAATACTTATATCATGTAGTATGTCATTTTATATTATCATTAGAGGTTGCATAGTGTATTACGAAACCTCTAATAGTAAGATATGGAGTACCATATGAAAGCTTGAAAAAGGATATTTGATATTTGCAATCCATTCTCATTTCAAGAATATATTCCAGGTAAGTGGCGTATTTTTGCGAAGAATTGTAAAAATTCTCATTCCGTTTAAAGATTAACAAAACTATATTCATCAGTTCATATAACACACAATTAATGTATAAGTAGATATACTTCAGTTACACGCGAACGGTAGCCAGCGTTCCGGGCCGGACGGGTTCGTGTAATATTCAGGGCCCGCGTTGGGCGCCAATTTGCGAGCTCGAGCAGATTAACCGACAGATTTTCTCATGATAGCCCGAATTGTCGGCTTAAATATTTGTAAATTATTTATTGTTAAATCCGACGCTTAAATTGTTTTACTCAACGATGGAGTTTCTGCAAGCGCAAAATAACACGAAACCATTTATGAATTAATAATTAACACTGTGTCCTAACCTTTTGTTAACTATAATACGGATACACGAGGCTCGTGTATCAAGACCGGACACCAGTACATTGTGTTAAATGTTTTTCGATGATCGATTTTTTGTTTATAAATACAGAATAAGTTTAGCAACAAAGTTAAGCGAAAAATAAAATATTAATATCAGAATAAGACAAAGTTTTAAAGCAAACTGCATAATGCAAAATTGCATTTTGAAATGATTAAGAGCAGCTCGCTCGACTAAACTCTGATTTAGCTTTAACTATTTAATGAGGTTCCGACAATTTTGTATTATTGTAGTTGGAAACAATGCGAATCTTCTTTACGATACTACTGGTATAACTTCTTTTGGGAAATTCACATTGCGGTTCAAAAAATATAGAAACATATTGTGAATCGTGTGAAACAGAATGCATACCGGAGACCCTTTTTACTGGTAACGAGGTACTCTGTCTTAGTCCTCAGGAGTGACAAAGCAACTACATTAGATTTTGGTGTCTATGGACCACAGCATCCACCCACCATTGTGTGGGCTGGGTTCTTGTGGTCGTTTATCACCATTACATCTTAAAAAGAAGAGTAAACAAAAAATTTTATTAGCTTTTCATATGTCTTCTATGCATCGCGCCCCATTTATGAAGGGGTTTATTTAGTTTTCTAGCCTTTTTACATCTTTAATATCTATATTGATGTGTCGATTCTTTGCACAAGTCATGACCTGTTGATATATTGTTGTTTTGTGAATTTAAATTTTGACTATCGTAAAACTAATAGAAGATGTGCTATATAGCACCCTTTTATTTCTATTTTTTTATTAATAATGTTTTTATATTTTTAATTACGAATGTTTTTCATCTTTATCAAAAAACTTCCATAATTTTATGGTCCAATATCTAGTATCCCATCGATAACAAGTCTTTTTCAATTTAGCTTATAAGATAGATCATGTGTAAGGAAAACTTTTATTTTCGAGTACTTATAAAAATATTATCGTGTAATTTAGTTAAGTTCTTTACGAATGATTCCTGACGTCTGCTACTTTATATTACAAAATCTGTTATTCATATCCATATTATGTACATCCGTAAAATTCCTATGTACATCCCAAAAATATTCAATGTAGCTCTAAAAGCTATAACAACTTCGAAAACAATTTTCCCTCGGAATAGATCGTACAGCACGTCGGTCCGTTCCTTGCTAATTAGTTTGCGAACGCCGAGTAAACTTAGAGGTTTATCTACGAGGTCTTCGTCTTTCGGTATGACTGCGCTGTGTAATCACTAATATAGGATTAAAATGTTTAAGCGCTGCTGGATGTGATTTAAGAACTTCGCTACTTTTAATTATTGAATAAAACACTTTTTTATTCAAAATTTGTGTTAGCTGTTCATCAAGTTACTTGATGATTACTGCTGGAGCCAAAACTATTAGTCTTACACTCAAGAGTCGGACCCAATTATTGTAAATGAACATAAATTATTGGTATTTTTGACGATACTATTCACGTGTACCTTTAATTGTCTTGCCTTTATAAAAGGACCAGATACAGTGTATATTTTGTATCGCTAAATTATGTCCCATAAAACTGACAACTTTCAGAGTCAACTTCCTTTACAGTAACTGTTTACTGCACAACATATAAACGATGGTTATCTAGATAAAATTTTGTAAGAAGAATTGTTATTATTAATTTAAAAAAAAAACATAACCTTAAATAAGAACTTTGGTTAAAATTCGGTTTGCCAGTAGTGTCCCCTTTCCAAACAGTGACTAGTTGTAAGTTCACTTTTCTATAGTTCAAAATAAACACATAATCGATTTCAATCAAAACATAATCAGGTATTAATTAATAAATAAATGGTCCGGAGACTATATCGCCATTCCTACTCGAAACAGAATGCGATGCGAAACGTTTACTCACGAACGTACCGTTGCGCGCTATAATTAGCGCCTGGTATGTGGCGGCTGATTATTAGCGCCATCTGGTATCAAGCAGCAGAAATAGGAGCGTCAAGATCTTTCTAGAACTCTCCCACTAGTGCCATCTAGTATCGAATGGAAGAACTAAGCTAGAAAGCTCAGTTCTTCCATTCAAATTCGATCTTTCTAGAAAGAAAGCACACACTCGAACTTTCTGCACCTGGTCGGTGAGGGGCCGGTATTTGCTGGAATATTCTGGATGTTTCGGTGGAAAAGGCCTATATAAAGTCGCTGAAGGCCGCGACCGGGGCAGTATTGAATTGGCGATACAAGCGAAGCTTCGGAGCGAAATAAAATGAACTAAAGTGATGAGTGGGATTAATTATTAGTGTGTTTTAAATTTCAATTGGTGTTCGGCAATTAAAGTGTCAATTTTGGTAATTCAATCGCCAGTTTTTATTGTCATGAACCCTAAGCTTGTAACAGTACAAACGCACGATTACACATATTTTTATACATTACGATCTACCAAAACTTCACTGTACACCATGGATTGTACCATAGCAGCGCAGATCCTTATTATTTTGACTTGTTTTCAGGTAGACGCTGCTTCTAATTCAGTTTTCCGGGATACGAAAGGACACAGCACATCAAAACACACACAATCATCATTTAAAAATAGTTGAATTTGACTCCAATCTACTTGGTATATACCAGCAAAATGTAGATATGTATGTTTAAATTTGGACTTTCAAAAATATCAAACGTTAGGAAGCGTCAATTAATTAGGTGAGGTATTTAGGTAGGGGGAAGGGAGTCGAGTCAAATCTCACCCAATCTTACGCGGGGGACAGGGAGAGTCTCGGCAAATATCACGTAATCGCAAGAAACTGTAAATTTTCGAGAAAATTGATTTCAATTAAGTAAGATATGGCTAAATGTTACACAATAATATTTATCGCGGTAATGCGAACTCCACAGATTACATACAAATAATTAAGCTAATTATATATTTTTTTGTTTTTTAATAAAGTTCTCTCCTTAAAACTCACGCTAAAGTTCTTCGAAAACTTTCGCGTGAGATTTAAGGGAGAGTGAGAGGATCGAGCCATATCTTACGACACCTCACCAGGAGGAGGGTAGAAAAATCGCCAAAATCGTCTCACGTAATTAATGGACGCCCCCTTATAACAATATCCATGAGTATCGAGAGGAACCATGGAACTTGTGGTTACTCATAACCTCTCAACTCAAAACTCTCAACTTGGAATAAATATAATTTGTAACTACTTGTATTTAAACCTTATAGTATAGTAGCGGTGTGAGAATATCCACTACCCCATATCGTCCCGTGGGTGTCGTAAGAGGCGACAGGGGGAAGCGGAAACAGGGGATCGGCAGCATCTTTCTAGTAACAACTCAGAGTATTAACAAAACTGCGGTTGCCAGGCGTGGCAACAATGGCAAAATCCCCCTTATGAGGCAGCCTATGAGGAAGTCTACGTTGTGCAGCGGACTTTTATTGGCTGTTATTATAACCTTCTTTACCATAATGCAGCTACACGATTAATATATAGCATTAGTAGCTATACAATTAAAATTATTCAACCAGTTTGCAGTTAAAGTAAAACACACTTTATTTTCATATCATAAGATATTCACATTCAGCGGCCCTAAATCCATGGCCGCTACTGTCGATTAATCTCCCCAATTACTGATATTTGAACAAGCACTAATTGGATCCGGCTTCGCGATCCACTGCCGCTAGTAATTACACTCCGTGTAATTCAGTGTGAATCAACGTTTTGGCAAATTGGCGCCCAACTTAGGACCGCCTAGTTTTCATAAAAATCTGCAGTTTGTCTAACACTTAAAAATAGGTTTAATTCGTTTTGATCAATTAATCGATATACTTTATTTTATCTAATGACTCGATGTTACTTTTCATTGCTGATTGATTGGTGCAGGACGACTTCACCTGTTCCTATGCGTGTTAGCGGTCTTTACATAACTAGAAATAATATTTTAACTAACAATTTCATTGATGATAGGCAGATATCCAGCTCGATTGCTTGCATGTCATTAAATTTCAAAACGTTTGCTCAACCCGAAATTTATTATGATAGATAATATGTAAAAAGAGCCGGTAATTAATGTAAATAAAGAATAGTAATGTTAACCCCTCTTAAATTTAAAGATGTTCCATTTAAAATAAGGCTGTATTCAAACACTTTATAGCTGAACCATTCAATCGTA